AATCAAGTTTCTAAGGATCAATAAAACCAGAAGGCTGACTCATATACACCTCATCTGTCAAAAAACCATGCAAAAAATCATTTTGAACATCCGACCAGTGAAAATGAACAGCCAAAGCAATAACAAGACAGATGGTAGAATGAATGACCACAAAACTGAATGTCTCACCATAATCAATACCTTCTTATTGGTGAAATCCATTAGCAACAAGGCAAGCCTTACAGTGCTCGATAGTACCATCTGACCGTCCTTTGATGCAGAAGAACATTCATTAGAGAGTGATATGGGACCAAGATCCAAGTCCTAGTGAGTTGCAAGGCAGTACACTCCTAAGTCATGGCTTGATACCACTCAGGAAACTTATGTGCCTGACTGTAACAAGAAGTCTCAATAGACAAGTTATTGACATCATAAATAAGTGCATACTTGGGATTGGGTTTCTGGATGTCGTCCATGGCCCGAGTTACCTTACTAGGAGGAAGGGCACTTACCAAAGTTGGAGGAAAAGAAGTACCAGGTGGCGCATTAGAGGAAGAGGTGGAATCCAAAGCCAGATGGGAATAAGAACTAGGCGGGGTGGTAGAAGGAGAGGGGAAGGTACAAATAGCAAGGGTGGGATTACGAGTATATGTGAGTATTGAGGCAGGAGAGATGGAATGAAAAGGGGACAGCAAATCAGTAGGTGGTGGGTTGGAATAGGAAGGTAGCTGAGGTGGGGCAGGGTAAGATGATGGGCGTGCTGATTCTAGATCAAGAAGATTGGAACGAGCCGTGTCAGGTGAACTAGGAGAAGGGCAAGAGGGTTGAGAGACGGAGTAGGCAAGGAGATGGGTATCATCAATATAAAGGGGAATCGAGGACATGGAGACTGGGGAATCCTTTGCCAAAATAAGATCAAGGGAAAGGATAGTTCATTAGACATAACATCCTAGATAAAAACATACGACCAGTGGACAAATCTAAACATTGATAACCACATTGATTCAAAGCATAACCAAGAAAAACACACATAGTGGACCTAAGTTCAAGTTTGTTTTGATTGTATGGTCAAATATAAGGAAAACAAACACAACCAAGCATTTAAAAAAATTCATAATCAGGTTCATGATGAAATAAACGCTGCTAAGGAGAAACCAAGCCCAAAATGTGAGAAGGCAATCAATTAATAAAATAGACAACAGTGTGAAAAGCCTCAGCCCAATAGGAAGAGGCATGAAAGCATGGGCTAACATAGTGAGCCCAGTTTCAACAATGTGTCTATGTTTTCGTTCAGCAAGTCTATTTTGTTCAGGATGATGAGGGCACAAAAAACGATGAAAAATGCCATGTTAAGACCAAAAAGTCTGAAATTGCTTATTAATATATTCACCCCACCATCAGTTTGAAATGATTTAATCTTAGTAGTGAATATATATTCTTAACAAGTTGCTTAAATTGAACAAAAATAGAAAAGACATCAGATTTCAATTTAAGAGGAAAAATCCAAGTATAACATGAAAAATCATCCACGAAAATCACAAAATAATGAAAACCATAAATAGATAAAAGTGGAGACCTCCAAACATCAGAGTATACAAGGTCCAAACACTACTACAAAAATCGAAATAGACGACGGGAAATCACCGCCGTGTAGAAGGTTTTTCAACCGTCGTGAAATCGACCGACATCTATTTGGGTGTCAAACTACGACGGCTTTTCACCGTCGTTGTTTATCCCTAAAGACAACAATTTTTAAAGAAAATCGTCGTTGTTTAAAGGTAAAGATCGTTAATTATAGGAGGAAAGACGATTGTTTTTAATAAAACCGTCATGTATTATATGTAAAGATGACGGTTTTTTTATGAAAACCGTCGTGGATTGTTTATAAAGACGACGGTTGTTTTATATAAAAAAGGGTCATTTTTACATATAATAGACGACCATTTTTGAAGAAAAAAAAAAGTCATCTTTACTTCACAATAGACGATCCTTTTTTTTAAAAAAACCGTCATCCTTACATATAATAGATGACCCTTTTTAAAAAACTGTCATCTTTACATATAATAGACGACCATTTTTTTTATAAAAATCATCATCTTTACCTATAATAGACGACCCTTTTTTATAAAAACCGTCGTTAATTATCTGTAAAGACCATGATTTATTATAAAAACCGTCGTCTAATAAGTTTCCAAACTGCTACATTTTAGTTCTTTTTGATTTCCTATGATGCTATACAACGATTTTAACTAGAAAACCAACCATAATGCTTTATTAATGAATATATACACTCAAAAATAGTTTCTTTCATAAAACTTGAAGATTCAATAGTTATTACATAGTTAACCAATCTTTATTCTACAAAAAACATAATTCCTAACATGACCTATGTATTCCTAATCCAAGCATTCCTCATCCAAACATACAAATGATGCACAACTGAAGTCTCCTCCATCATCCCTGTAAATAAATCAAAATGACAAAGAGAGAAAAAAAA